TGGGGATTCAAACCCGCCACCTTAGGTGTATGTGGCTGGCGCCTTAGCCGATTGAGCCACAGGCGCTGAGCCAGTTTCCATTCTTTATTAATGTACCTTGAAACTTTGAAACATCAGATTTTATATAGGTTTTGAGTATGTATGTATTGAAATATTTTTTTGACAGCATGAAGCATTTATTTTATTGACAAAAGCTATGAACAAATCAGGGAAAAAGTGCAATTCTGCAGTACCCACAAAGTTCTAGAACACACAGGTTTAAGAAGGTTGCTTTTATTCATATTGCAAGTCTACCCCATTGTGACCTCCTCCTGTCAGAACAGAAACTTCCAAACTTCTCAGACTCCTCCAAGTAGGAGACATCTAAACCTTTTGTTGTTTTACACCTGATATGTATTTTACTTGCATGAACATTTCTCAATAAAATGATTATGAAGAGTAGAGTGTGTTGAAATATTTTAAGAAAATTATTTTTGAAGATTTCATCTACCTAGTTTGAATAATTGTGTATTGGAAACACTTGAGTAGGATGAAAATAAGTACATTAAGAAAATGAATGCTAGGAAGGTTATTTCTTTATTGCAATAGTGTCCTGAGTTAGAAAAGTGATGTTCCACTTGATATTTGTTCTAGATTATAATCTATTTAAAGTCAATGGTCGGGTCTCTCTCTGTGAATTTCCTCGTAGCACAGTGCCTTAACCATAGCATGTGCACAGTAAATAGTTTCTTGATCAAAGGAGTTGTTCTACAAATTGGCTTTTCTGTTTTTCTTTTTTTTTTTTTCTTCTTTCCTCCTCTCCATTTAGAGCCGGGCTCCAATTTCGGCCAAACTTGTTGCAAATATGCTGTCTGTAGCAGGCGCAGATCATATTATCACCATGGACCTACATGCTTCTCAAATTCAGGTATCAATGGAACTTAAATATTGGGGGTTAGAAAGGTAGGAGGAGAGGACTGATGATACTGAAGACTGCAGAGAAGCCAAAAAGTGTGCCTAAGTACAGCTTAAGTAAAATATGACATCAACAACCTTTATTTTTTTGCAGTTTTTGGGTGGGGCTGGGTTTGAACCCACCACCTCCGGCATATGGGGCCAGTGCCCTACTCCTTTGAGCCATAGGTGCTGCCCAATATTTTTCTTTTTAGAGACAGAGTCTCACCCTGTCACCCACTCTTAAGAGAGTGCTGTGGCATCAGGGCTCACAGCAACTTCCAACTCTTGGGCTTAAGCGATTCTCTTGCCTCAGCCTCCCGAGCAGCTGACATTACAGGCGCCCACCACAACACCTGGCTTTTTTTTTTTTTTGATTGCAGTTGTCATTATTCTTTAGCAGGCCCAGGCCAGGCTGGAACTCGCCAGCCTCCCTATATGTGGCCAACTCCCTACTCACTGAGCTACAAGCACCAAGCCTTAACAACATTTTTAAATGTATTCACATTAAGTATAGTTCATGATCTTGGCCATCAGATGGGGAGGCAGTCTGGTATTAAGGGGAAGAGCATAGGCTTTGGCATCAGATCTAGTTGGAATATCATTTTTGACACTTACTAGCTTTGTAAGCTTGGGCGGGGTTACTAAAATTCTCTAAACATATACTTTTTCATTGTGAGTATAATGAGATTAAATTCATAATATAATGCCTGGTTCATGACAGGTACTCAGAAATGAGAAGTGTTAGTGTCATTATTATTCTCCTTGAATATTCATGGTCTTAAATTTAGAGCCACAGATATTGGAACCTACTTTTCTGGCATAAACCCAGAGTGAGAGGAGTAAAATACCATTTTTATGCTTTTCAAAGAGGCTTTCAAATCATAAGGGAATTCTATGAAGTACACAGGACAAGGGATTGTACTCATTTTTTAGAAAAGAACAACTTGAGAAATACAACAAATTTGTATCAACTATAATTAGAATACCTATCTGACTATTAGTTATTATTTTTTTTATATAGAAGACAGAGTCTCACATTATAGCCCTTGGTAGAGTTCCATGGCATCACAGCTCACAGCCATCATCCTGGGCTTAAGCGGTTCTCTTGCCTCAGCCTCTCGAGTAGCTGGGACTACAGGTGCCTGCCACAACACCCGGCTATTTTTTTGTTGTAGTTTGGTCGGGGCCAGGTTTGAACCCGCCACCCTCAGTATATGGGGCCAGCGTCCTACCAACTGAGCCACAGGCGCCACTCTATTAGTTATGCTTTGCAGCCATTTACTATGAATAGCTTCCACTAAGTTACGCACCATAGCATCTCTAACTGGTGTGTCCATTAGCTTTTTGCCCTTTACCAAACAAGCGTGCCATTTATTGGCATAAAGCAATATTTATTATCTCATGAGTCTGCATGTTGGCTGGGCAATTCTTAGGGTCTTGGCTGAACCTTGGTCATTCTTCACATGGACTCATTTATGTTCTATGGTCAATTGTGAGTTGACTGAAAGCTGGTTTTGCTGATCTTGGCTGGGCTCTCTTGACACAGCCTAGATTTAGGAGGCTTTTTTTATGATCTACCACACGGGGTATGACTTCCCATGAATTTGTTGCAGTAAGGTATTCTCTGAGCAAGTTACTACTTTCTTTATGTTAGCCATTTATAAATGGAAGAGAGGTACAATGAAGCAAAACTGATCCAGCTTCTTTTTACAGGGCTTTTTTGATATCCCAGTTGACAATCTGTATGCAGAGCCAGCTGTCCTGAAGTGGATAAAGGAGAATATCTCTGAGTGGAGGAACTGCACTATTGTTTCACCTGATGCTGGCGGAGCTAAGAGGTATGGTTGAAATTAGTATTGTAACCAATGTGCTAGGAAAATCTTTCAGACAGTTGTGTCAGAAAGTGATGTTTTTCTATCCAAGTGGTAGTTTCTAAGTACTTCTGCATGGATATAGCGGTTGTTGGGACATAGGTTGAATATAGTATGACTCACTTCTCTCTTCAGTGGCCTGAGTTATTACTTGGAAGACAAGATAGAAAGAGGGCCCTAAATAGTCATGGTATTGTGGACATGACTATAACACATGAATAACTTGGCACTATAGAATTAGCAATATTGTACAGGAAATTTGGTTTTCTAATGAATGGTGGCTGCTGTTGAACCCATATTAGTGGACAAGTTTGCTTTTACATACCTCTTAACACTGTTCATTGATCCTTGGGATTAAAATAAAATAAAGTGTGATATTTTTATTTAAAGCTGAGACCTTAATATTTTACACAAACTGATTGCTGGGGCTTGCCAGTTACGGTGCTTTACAGCTCACATGGTGCAGACTAAGAGCTCTTGATTTCCTTAGTGGATTACTCGTTAGTAATGTATTCAAAAACACAACACATGTTCTTCTTGTTGTGGAAATAGAATGAAGAGCTACAAAACACAGATGATTAGAAGAAGCTAATTCAGAATTTTCCAAAGCCTTTCAAATCTTCAATGACTGTTTCTCAACAACCTCTTTATTTCAGTAACTTCAACAGAACTGATAAGCTGAGAGCTTGAGTTCTTTTATCCAGCCAGATGTACAGCTTGGTGAGCCCCATGTAATCAGTAGTTCCCATCTGTAATATTAGAGACAGCCTAAAAAACATCTCCCTACCGGTAGTTGCCATATTTGTCTTAACTTATGGACCATTATTTTCATATCTTGCCTTGGGGCTTAGAAAATAGTCATGCTTGAAATAACCAAAACAGATTTTTTTTTTTAAAGATAGTCTCACTTTATTGCCCTTGGTAGAGTGCCTTGGTGTCACAGCTCACAGCAACCTCCAGCTCCTGGGCTTAGGCGATTCTCTTGCCTCAGCCTCCCAAGTAGCTGGGACTACAGGCACTTATCACAACACCTGGCTATTTTCTGTTGCAGTTTAGCTGGGGCCAGGTTTGAACTTGCCACCCTGAGTATATAGGGCCAGCACCCCACCCACTAGCCACAGGCACCACCCAACAGATTTTTTTTTTTTTTTTTTGTCTAAAGTTGGGTACAGGAAAACTGCCTTTAGTAGGCGACTCACTGCTACTTGATTATTTTTTCATTATAATTACCTTATAGTGATGTTTTCTGAGCGAGTGGCTATCACTTTGTTTTCTCCTACTGCTTTCTCTCTTGGCAGGGCTTGGGGATTAGGTAGAGATAGACCCCTGTGTGATTAGATTTGCACAGTAGTTCTCCACTCAAGGGTGAAAGGAGTGACTTTCTCTAGCCCTTTTTAGGCTTTGTTGGACACTGAGCTTATTGGCCATTGAGTATGGTCAGTTTGGGACATTTAAACTAACTGATCATGCATTTGCCTTGGATAAGCATTCATTCCAATTTTTGTTACCATTAATGTTATGTGTCTGAGCAGTAGTAACGGAGAGTACAGGGTTTGTTTGGATCAAGGTATAAATGTTGTCTTAAGTTGTGGTTCAAACTTTTTTTTCTTGCAGTTTTTAGCTGGGGCCGGGTTTGAACCCACCACCTTCGGTATATGGGGCCGGCTTCAAACCTTATTATATGGGCACAGGTTTACAGCAAAACCTCAGGTATACGACCATGGGCACAAAGAAAACAGAACAAAATGGTATACTTTGATTGATGCTACATTGAAGAACAAGACAAAACCCAGAGCACAGGCTTCTTTATGCATGGCAGGGATGTTGCAACAGAGTGTGGACAGACATGTCACTGGGGCAACTTACTGTCATTTACACTGAATGAATTTCTGGCTGAGTTATGTGCTGGTTTGTCCAAAAGCAGATGTGTCTTCTATCCCACATTCTAATCTTGTTTGTATTACCTTGTAATAAGAAGAATAAGAATTCTATTTTGATTTAGGAATGAGATGCCCAGCTTGATAACTTTCTTTCTAGCCTTCATAAAAGGAACTCCCAAGCTTGGTGTCCAGGTACAGTTGACACTGACTATTGGTGGGTGTTTTGCACCATCACTGAGGGGAGCAATAAGAGCACAAGCATAGGAGTAGGCTGGACACTGCTATTCTCCCGCCAGCTTCAAGGTCACTTCTCACCACATCCACAGTCACAATGTTCCATGGTGGAAATTGGGACGGCCTTTGTGCTCCCTGCATTAGTTAATAAAGTCTTCTCTCACCCCTTCTACTTCCAGTCCATCATATAAATGTGTTTTAGCATTGTACTGCTTCCTAGGACTGGTAAGGGTGTATGTCTCCTGCCCAGAATGAATGCTCATCTAAGTCTGACCAGTATATTCATAAACTGCTGTCGGGATATGTAAATACTATTCAATAATATAAAATCCAGGTTTTGATACTTGCCTTTGAGATGTCAGTCCATGATGGTGGTTTTATTTTAGCATGGAACTGTTTGGTTTCTGAATATCTTCCCCCTCTCCCAAAGAAAAAATGTGGTTTGTTTAGTCTTTTTTATTTTTTAAGGCAGGGTCTTGTTCTGTTTCCCAGGCCGGAGTATAGTGGCATGATCATAGCTCACTACAGCCTTGAACTCTGAGCATAAGCAATCTTCCTGCTTCAGCCTCCAAGTAGCCGGGACTGCAGACGCATGCTGTCACACCTGCATTTTGGTTTTTTGCTTTTGTTTTTGTTTTTGAGATGGGATCTCACTGTGTTGCCCAGTCTGCCCTTGAATTGCTGGCCTCAAGCAGTCCTCTTGCCTCAGCCTCCCAAGTCACTGAGATTAAAGGTATGAGCCACTGTGTCCAGCTAAGACCCTGTTTCTTTTGTCTTAGAAGCCTTTTGTTTTGCAGAGTGACCTCCATTGCTGACCGTTTGAATGTGGACTTTGCCTTGATACACAAAGAACGGAAGAAGGCTAATGAAGTGGACCGCATGGTTCTAGTGGGCGATGTGAAGGATCGGGTAGCCATCCTTGTTGATGACATGGCTGACACTTGTGGCACAATCTGCCACGCTGCTGACAAGTGAGTGTGGAGTGCTGGGGCTGGTGGTTAGAAGTAAAAAGCCTAACAACTGCTATCTGAATGCCTTCAGGCTGCTGATTCTTTTTGGAACTGAATTGATGGGATAAGTAGCTTTGGGAGATTTTCATTGCCCTAGGCTTGAATTATAATATATAGAAATTGATATTTACTCTTATTTTTTCAGAGCTTCTTAATGTTTTTCCAATTTTTACTGTACTAAGCTATATATAAGAAAATTTGCCATTTTAACCATTTTAAAATATACAATTCAATAATATTAATTACATTTACAATGTTACATAACTATTACCATTATATGTTTACAAATTTTTTTTT